TCTATGCTGCTCCTGAATTTCTATCATGTCAGTGTTCTTCAGTTGTGGCCCTTCCCAGAATTCAAACCACCAGCCATTCTGTAGTTTGCTTCTCTGAAACGAGAAAATGATCTACTAGGATTTGTCTTCTTGTCCAGATTGAGTTGTGAGGCTTCCAGTGATGAAAACCCACTATCAGAATTGACTCTTGCCATATCCTTCCTGCTCTGATGTGTGAACAGCTCTACAGCAGCTGTGATGGGAACAAACTTAACTTTTCTCCCTCTGTGGAAAGCGGAAGAGGTTAATGCAGGAGGCATTTTGCTCAAAGTTGCCCAATTCTTTCACAACTCTACTTTATAAGCCAAAGAAAACTGTAGGATACACTCCAGTGACTGCAACACTGGGTTCTGCCAGATCCTGACAGCTGACTTGCTCAGCTTTAGCAGCAAGTGAGAAAAATGTTAACTTTTGCTTTATGGAAACTGCTCCCAGGCCCCTTCTGGTGCAACCTCAGGCAGTTTAACAGCTAATCCCAACATAAACAGCTTCCACCTCCCATCACGACTTGCCTGTAGGTGCAGAGTGTCACACATCTGTGAAAAACTTTTGGTAAATATATTGCTGAAAATGGCCACTACTTGCAGGTGTTCAGCCTCTGCTATCATCGTTCGTGCTCTTTTAAATCACAGTTTGTTTAACATGGAACAATCAAGAGTATTATGGGGCTTAAAAACAATCACATAAGCTGTATAATTTTATGACTGGCTAAGCTCTTTATGAGCGCTGGCTGATTTGATAAAGACCTTATAGCTCAAATGAACTCTTTAATGCAAAGGAGTGAAACCAGGAGATTCAGCTGGTTCCGATACTGGGGAGAAATTTTAGTGTTCAGCCAGTGCCTGGATGAAATGGCAGCAGTGGGGCAGGTGCCAGGCTGGGGTTTTGAGTGCAGAAGCTCCGCGCTCGTCTTTCCTTGGAAAGTGGGGCTGGCAAGGCAGGTCTGCTCCGCTGGATGGAGCAGCCTGTGTGGGTGTGAGCGTGTGACCACACAGCAGGCAATTACCAGCTTTCAGAAGTTATTTAATTGTTAGATGCTAAAACTGACTTGAAATGCTAAAAAATTGGAGGAGTGGGAATACATATAGGCATGAAATCCTGTCTTTTTCCACACCAAATCTGGAACAGCAGAATTAAAGCTGTTGAGTTAGGAGTTAGGAAAGGTTGAGCTCAGTAATGCTTCCCCTCTCAGGAGAGTCTATCTCTGCCTGGGGCTAAGTTATCCTCTAAGTTATCTTGTCTCACTGCTGGGCAGTGAACAGGAAGTGCTGGTTGTTTTTTTCAGCCCTCTCATCACTTCTCAGTGGCAGGATGGTCCACAGATGCCTAAAAATCTGCTGTTTCCTCCTGGAGAGAGTGAAAAATTGGAATACCTGTAGAGCCTTTAGGTTGGAGTTCTTGTGGGTTGGCACCTCCCTCTAAAGTGAGGCTATTTGTCAGCTCCCTTTTGCTTTTCCCAACAGGCTTTTCTGGAGTGAGCGTAAAATAACCAAGGCCAGAGAGTGGTTCCACCGGACAGTGAAGATCGACTCGGACCTGGGGGATGCCTGGGCGTTCTTTTACAAATTTGAGCTCCAGCACGGCACAGAGGTGAGTGTGTGCCTGGGAACAGGCAAGGCAGCAGCAATCCCTGGCTGATGTGGGTTGCCCAGCCCTGGTATTGCCGTGGTGCTGGGCTGAACACGCTGCTGCTGCTGCTGCTGCTGCCTGCATGGTCACAGGTGAGGCTGGCTGTCACGCCTGGTCACGAATGAGCATGAACAGGCCTGTGTGGTGGCTGTAGCTGAGCTGTCTTTCAGACTGCTTTGCTCTCCACAGTCATGCTGAAATCAATCTTCCTCCTGTAAGACACAACCTCGCTCGGAGGAGATTGTGCCAGAATTGCGATGCTGGGTTTGTGGAACTGTTGCTGTTTCTCCCAAGTGTCAAGTGCAGGTTGCGTGTGAGCACAGCCAGAGGAACAGCCTGTTCTGATCTCTTACGGCAGTTTTTACTGCCTGATATTCCTGAAACGATGGGGGTGTTTATTTCTGATTCAGAGAGACCTCTCACTTGACAGAGCTCCTGCAGGCAGTAACGCACAGGAAGTTTCTGCTGCAATTTCTCTGCCGTAGCCAAAACTTGCTGAGCTGTAACCTGGCCAGCTTGTTCAGCCAGGCAGGAGAGTTGCTGCTGCTGAATTTTGACGGGGGCTTCCATATTGCCTGTGAAAATAACAAACCCCAAACCCCACTGTAAGCTTTGGAGGAGTATTTGAATCGGGGGAGAGGGGTGGGCTGTTAAATTTTGGGTTCTTTGCTAGAACAAACCAGGACAAACCTGGTTTCTCTTCGCCGTAGGAACAACAAGAAGAGGTGAGGAAGCGCTGTGAGAACGCCTGAACCTCGCCACGGAGAGCTCTGGTGTGATGTCTCCAAGGACATAGAGAACTGGCAGAAGAAGATTGGAGAGATTCTCGTGCTTGTGGCAGCCAAGCTTAAAAATACCTTCTAGAGTGTGCTGGCCCCAGCTGCCTCAGTGGTCTCTGCAGGACTTCCCTGCTTGTGGTGCGTTGGGTCCTCGCAGCAGCACAGATTTTGGAGAACAGGAGACGGGTGATGACACGAAGGAGCTTTCTCCCAGAAGGAACAGCTCTCCTTCTTTCCCCAGCATGGCCGTCAGCTTCTGCAGCACATCAGAGCGTTGTTGCTGGTGTCACATAAGAGACACAAGCAGTCTTGTGAGCCTCTGTTGGCGATTCCATGTTGATTCCCCATTTCCCCCCTGCAAACACAAGCTTTAATTAGCGCTTGTGTGGATTCTGGTATGTTGCAGTCCCTCTGCTCTCAGCCATGGCATGTGTTCCCTGTCCCCCTTTAGTGTTTGGCCCATCTGAGGCTGGTTCCTTGTCAGCAGATCTGGATTGTTGCTGTTGGAATACACTGAGTGTTCTTGAAGGAGATGAGTGGAGTTTGGGGACCAGCCCAGCAGCACCAGGAAAGGTCTGGGCTGGTTCCTCTTCTTAGCTGGTTTAGCTTTGTCTCCTCTGCTGACAAGCTGCCACACAGCTCTGAGATGTTCCTCCAAACTCAGCAGCTGGAGCATTTTGTCATATTCAAAAGCATATTTTTAGACAACTTTTCCTCAATTTTTAAATGTAAATGGCAAACCTTATTCTTTTAGGTGTCTGAGTTCATTAAGCACAGTGGTGTTTTAAAGTAACAAGGCAAAATCCAGCAATCCTTGGAAGCCCTTTGAAAGAAGAACCTTTATTTAGAGTCGTTGGGAGACTGTGAGCTGTTACACAGCTGTGACTGCCTGTGATTGGGGGGTGTCTCTCTTCAAGTGCAGGTGGAAAAAAGTGAACTCATTAGAGGGAAAGCTTTATGTTAGGGACCCTTTATACACTGTCTTCAATTTTCTACACTTGTGATCTGTACTATTTCTACCCCAAACCCCTGACTTTCTTGTGATCATAGAACAAGAAGCTGTACTGTCTTACATGTGAGGATGTAGCAGCAGTATCTGGGTCTGTGGATGTGTGTTGTCCCATGTATTTAGTTGGAGGAGAAACTCCCTTATTACTTGTTGGAAAAATATGTATAAAATACAGCTTGTTTTTTTTGTTTCCTTCTGTTCTCTTTGAGCGTGGTCTCGCCCTTTGACTCTGACTGGGAAGAGTGGGTCTGATAGCAGAAACCTTTGGACTTATCAGGCTCCCACCACTCTGGGAAGGTGTCTGCCAGTGGTGGCTGCACCAGGCTGGGCCACAGCCTTTTGCCAAAACGGAGATGCCCGTCTCTTAACGCTGCAGCAGAAACGGTTGGTCTGGAAGCAAAACCCTGTTTTTCTTTGGGTCCATAACGGAAACTCTTGTGCTTTCTTTGGAATAGCTGGGGAAAGGGTGTAGATCACGGATGTCCTGTGGAACTGTAGTTCTCCAAAGGTGAGTGAGAGGCGGTGGGAGTTGAGAGACTCTTGCTCAGGGATTTTGTGCCATCACTGACGTCCTTCTGGTGAGTGGGCTTGTTGAGAGTGAAGGAGAGTTTGAGAAGAGATATGGAGATGATGTGAGAAGGAGAGGGTAGACCCTGTGCCACCTCCTTGCAGCACCAGGCTCCTTTGGCCACCTGCTCCTCTTACCTGCAGCTTCCCTTTCTCTTGGGTTACTTTCCTTAGCTTCGGGATTATTTTTTTTTAGGTAAACATAATCAAGATCATCAATCTTAGAGCCTTTTAATGTTTGTAGATGTCTTGTTGGTTTTTAAGTGGATTATGGCACCCATGAATTTTAGCTATTATAAAGAGCTCAATAAAGAAGTTATATGGGTTCTGTCCCAGTGGAATGCTGCTGTGTGTGGTGGGTCCCACTTCCCAGGAAGGAACGTTCCTGGCAAGCTGAGCAGAGCTGGGTTATTCACCATTTGTTCTGTCTCTTACTCAGACACCCGTGTTCCACACCTCAGAGGAGCTTTGTTGGTGTCGGTTCATTTTTTACCAAAACCAATCGAAATTGAGTCAGGGCAGTTTCTGTGCCTGGGCTGGGCGTGAAGTGCAAAATACCGAGGGGAAGGAGGAGAGGGGCTTTGTCTGGAAGCAGGGGGACACTGCTCGTGTTTGTTATTTTAGGGGAATCGCCCTGGACAGTCACTTCTGCTGTAGGTGGGTGCGGTTGTGAGTGTTCACCCGCTGCCGACTGTGACTCCAGAGTGAAACGATCACCCCAACGCCAACAGAAATCGAAACTGTGGTGGTTTGCGGCAAAAGGCGCAGCCTCAGCCCTGCCCGGGGTAGGGACACGTGTGGGTCGGGATCCCCGGGTGGGTGCGAGCGGGGCGTGCTGGCTCTGCCGGCCCCTCGGGGGCAGAGGGACCCTCTCCCCCCCTGCCCGGCTGCCCAGCCGGGAGCAGGACCCGACCCCGCAGCCCGGGCACGACCCCGCTCCCCTCTGCGCTCCGCCGGTGCCCGGGGGGGCCGCGGCGATGCCTCCCCCGCGGGGGCCGGGGCTGGGCCGGCGGCGGTGCCGTGTCCCGTCCCCTCCCACCGTGGAGCCAAGTTCAAACCGCGGTCCCGGCGGAGCGGGACGCGGGGCCGGGCCGCGCTCCCCGGGGCCGCCGCAGGGGCCGCGCCCGCGGGGCTCCATGGTGAGTGAGCCGGGACCCCCCTTCCCCCTGGGACCTTCCTCCTCCTCCTCCGGACACCCTTCCCGAGGCACCACCGCTGCACCGGAGCCCCCCGCACCGCCGGGATGGGGTCGGCTCGGCCGGGGTGGGACCTGTCGGGAGGTGGCTGCTTTCTCCTGGGATGGGGCTTGGACCGAGTGGGAAAGAGGCCGGTCCGGCCGGGAAGAGGCTCGGACTGGTCGGGATGGGGCCAGACCAGCTAGGAAAGGGGTTGGATCAGATCGGAACGGGGCTGGCCTGGGTCAAGATGGGGCTTGGATCCGGCTGGGAGGGTCGCGATGGGACAGAGCTGGGAGTCGATGAGGAAGGGGCTCTGATCCTGCTGAGAAGGCTCGCCCAGCTGGGACCAGGCTGCTGTGCCTGGGATGAGGCTTGGACTTGGCTGGGGTGGATCTTGTACCTGTCTGGGATGGGGCTTGGATGAGGCTGGTCCCGAGGGGGGACATGGAGGGTCTGTCCCTGCCCCAAGCTGTGGCAGGTGCTGGGGGTCTGGGTGGTGGCTCTGGGTAGGAGGGTGTTGGGGACAGGGTCCATCTGGCTGGAAGGACCTGGAGACCGTGGTGGGATTCCCGGGCTGGCTGCAGGCATTGCCCCTCACTACCCCACTGACTGGGACTGGCATGAGTGCCACCAGGAGCTGCTCTATCGATAATGGTGATTTCCCTTATCTCCTCGTGTTTGCTGGAGGATTAGAGTGAGGAAGAGATTAGCTGTGCCTGCCCTGCACCCGTGCTTCCCCAGGCTGTTCCTTCCCTGCCAGTTTCCCCCAGGAAGGGATGTGCCACCTGCCTGTAACTTGTTGCTGTGTGATGGGGGCAAAGGGAGAAGGAATAACCTTAAATCAGCTGCTGAACTTCTCCTCCTCCATTCTAAAGGGTGGGAAGCAAGAAGCAGGATTTGCAAGTTTGATCTCTCCCTGCATCCCTCACTTGTCACTGCTGCTTCCCTGCTCTCTGTGGGGGGTGGGAAACACCTACAGAACCCTCTGAGCTTCTGCCCCAGGTACTCCGTGTGCTGCTCTGACTGTGCTGAGGTCTGAGCCAGGCTTGGCTGCCTGGGAATACTGGGAACAGTGTGCTTTCTCCTGGAATTGAGTCCCAGTTGCTTAATAAGCCACTTCAGGGAAGTCATTCCTAGTTAAATGGTAAAATTGCATGACCTTGTCTTCCCAGTGGAGGAGGCTTCCGGAGAGCAACCCTTAGACTTTGGACGGGGTGTCCTCATGGAAGCAGCGCTCTCCTTTGGTGTCCTTGGGGATTATACCCTTGGCTCTCTGCTGAATCACCTCTGGAGCGAGATCTCTTAGTGGGTTTGCGGGGAACAAAACCAGCAGCGCAAGGATGCTCTTCCCTACCCTTCCTGGCCCCTGGATGGAGCCCAGCAGGGCTCTGCTGGAAGTTGTGTGCTGGTTAAGGAAGCTGAAGAGCCCAGTGGGATTTGTACCGGTTGCACGTGGATTTGCTCATCCCCTCCCACGCGCTTGTGCTCTGGGGTGACGGCTGTGTCTGTGGGTTTCCCAGGTTTGCACTGTGTTGGGTTTTGCCTTGTGTTAAGCTCCAATCACTCCTGCTGAGCTCTGGGAGGGTGGGAAAAACGTTTCTCACCCTTTTGGAGCCAGGTCCAGCCTGGCATCAAGCTGGGAGCATGGAGCGGACGCAGCTTTTACAAACCCTCCAGGTTTCCACCACAGGCCAGGATGGATGGAGGCTGCCTGAGTTTGGAATTCAGTGAGGGAAATTCTTCCTTCTGGCTTCTCGGAGCAGAAGATGAAGCTGAGAGCCAGAGGTGGCTGGGGGAGGGCAGTGACCCTCTGAGCTGTGCCCTGGGGCAGCAGGTGCTGGCTGCAGGCAGAGCTGCGGCCCCTTCCTCCTTGCTCATACTTTGGCTGCAGTGCAGGACTTGCATATTTGGAAGGAGCTGAGCTACTTTCTGCCTGCCCAGACCTGACAGCCACGGGAGGGGGTGTGTGTGTGTGTGTGGTGTGTTTGGAGAGGGTTGTGCATAGGGGGGGCTTTTCCTGGAAATGTGAAATGATAGAAATGCCAGGACGGGGCCCCAGTGCTGTGCCATCGCTCAGTGATGCAGAGACATGGGGAATTGTCAGGCTTCTTTCCTGGCAGAGATTTTGGGCTCCCCATCCTCACCCCTGCTGCGGGGCTGCTCAGATATCCCTGGTCTTGGTCACTTGAGCTTGTGCTGGCTTTTTTTCAAAGGCTTGGGACTCATCTCTGAGGGTCCATCCCCACCCTCCCCGTGCCCCTCCACCAGCTCAGGTATCAGCGCTTGGGGTTCCCCTGGCTCAGCAGTAGCCAGGATGTGCTGGCAAGGGCAGGTGCTTGTGCTGCTTCTGTTTGGCTCTTGGTGAGGGCACCTGGGCCTGGGGTGAGTGAGAGCTGTGGGCGAGATGGAAAAATGTCGTAATAATTCCATCCGTGCAGCAGAGGTGTGGGAACGTCCTTCCGAGGTTGTTTGATTCCATTTGGGTCCAGGTGTCGTTGTTGCTGGTGGGGACCAGGCTGCTCCTGCCTCCAGTTCCTGTCTGAGGAGCAGGATACATCCCTCTCTGCTCCTCTTGGGTTTTGGTGGTTGAGGTTCTGACCTTGAAATGCCACAAGCTGGGGACCTACTGGAACCCTGTTGGGACAGAGAGCTCAGGGATGGCAGAGAGAGCTCTGTGTGTGCCATGGGCAGTGCTGCTGAGCTGGGCTGAAGGTGGAGTAGTTTCCCAAGGGCTTTGCTCCAAGCTGAGATGGCTTATCTGGGAAGAGACAGTGGAGGCTCCTCCAGCACATCCTGCATCTTGGGGGACAGGTCTGAGGGGGCTTGTGACTAGGAGATGAAGGCAGAGCCCGGAGCATCCCTTTGTCCCTGTCTGACTCTGAGCCCTTCCCTGGCAGATTTTCCCCCGGGCTCTCTCCTCTGCTGTTCTGCTGCTCCTGCTCGTGGCCGTGCTGAGCAGAGGCAGGAGGTGCAGCATCGCCAAAATCCTCCAGCAGTACCATGCCGTCATCTTCCATGAGATCCAGAACCTGGTGAGCTGAGGGATTGTGTCTTCCTTGGGGCCCTGGCTCTGGGGAATGCTGCTGAGCTGGATGCAGCCCTGCTGCGGGAATGTGGGGAGGGATGAGCTTGGAAGCTTAACATGGAGCTGGCTGCTTTGCCAGCAGTACTGGGGAGAGTGTTGTGTTTAAATGGGTGATTCTTGCCCCAGGTGGGAGGCACCGATCCTGGGTGGTGCTGGATCTTCTTGATTTTTTTTTTTTTTTCTCCAGAAAAACCTGAGTGGGTCGGTGCACAGGAGCGGGAGGGCTGGGCCGGCTTGTCGCTCGGACAAGGTGAGCACTGAGGGAGCCGGGGCTGGGGCGTGGCGTGGGCTGAGCCCCCAGGGAGCCACAGAACCCTCCCTTCCTGCCCGGGGCCACGTGCCTCTCTCCTCTCCAGGACCAGAAGATCCTGCTGTCCATCTACAACATCAGCATGTCCCTGAGGGAGGCGGGGGCCGGCGCCCTGCACAGCCATGAGGAGCTGGCGGTCTGGAAGGTGGCCAGGAACACCGACTTCGTGCTCCGGGAGAACTGCAGGAAAATCAGCAAGGTGGGAACCCTCTCCTTCCCAGGCACCCCAGTGAGGCCCAGTTCCCCAGGGCTGTGGGAGGAGCCTACCCCATCGAGTGCTCTCATGCTGCCCATGAGGAGGCTCCAAGGCCCTGCCCGCAGCATCCCAGGAGCTGGGGGATTCTGATGGCACGTCCATCCCAGTGAGCTTTAGACTGGCCAGGGAGGCAAGTCCACCTGTGGCAGTGTGGGACTGGCTGATAGGGTTTTGTCACCAGCTCTCAAGTGGGTTTTTCCAACTGTGCCATGATGATGTGGCTGATGGGGAACACAAGACCCTGTCCTGTTGGGATACTCACTCAGTGGGTGCATTCACTCAGTTCCTCTCTTGCTCCTGGGTGCTCATAGGCAAGAACTGGGGTTTATCTTTAAAGGGCTGGGTTCCCCTGGCATCCCTGGGGCTCTGGAGGGGAAACCCCATCCAGGAGGATCCCTATGGCAGTGCCAGCAACTCATTAACCAGCAGGGAAACCCCAGGGCAATGAGGTGCCAGCTCCTGTCTCCCAGCTCTGCCTGGCCCTGGGACAGTGCTGGGGCTGTCCTCCCTGCCACTGCTGGGGACATCAGACCCCACGTGTGGTGGCTTTTGTCCCCTGACTAACGCCTGAGTGACGGTGTGGGGGGGGTGGGTTTCTGCTCCCTCCCTCGGCAGCACCGCCCGCAGACCCCGTTGCGCACCAGCCCGGCACAGCCCCGGCGAGGGGGACCCGGCCGCAGGAGGAAGCAGCTGCGGGAGATCGGGAGGAAGGCGGCGAGGCTGGCCACCTGCTGGGAGAAGCTCTACGCCCTGCACGCCCCCCACCAGGCACCCCGGCGCTCGTAGGGACGCCCTCGCCACGCACGGGAGGGACGCGCTGCCCCCGCACCCGGGGCTGCCAGCGGCTCCTTTGGGAACCTGGGACAGACTCAGCCCTGAGGGCAGCGGCGTTGCCACCGGCAGATGCCCAAGCTGAATTCATCCTCCTGTCCCAAGCGGTGCCCAGGGACTGGCTCTGTCGCCCGAGGTTGGGGCTGGCAGGTTGGTTTGCTGTGGGATGGCTGCGGAGGGACCCTGCAACACCAGAAACACTGGGAAGAAGGGGAAGCACTAAATACAGAAGGTGAGGTGTGGATTCTGCAACGCTCCTGGGCCTGCAGCACCTGCTGCTCTCCTGGGGACAATGGTTGCATTTTGGGGCAGAAAGAGGACATGTGAGACCATGGCTCTGAGGGCTCTGCTGGAAGTGGGACTACAGTGCACCCACAAGGCTCTGAGTGTGGATGGGCTGCGGAGGGGGACATGTGTCCCTGTGGCACTGCTGGGACACACAGAGCAGCTGGGCACCTGCAGTGGACAGGGAAGCTGGAGTGCATCACTGGACACCTCAGGAAACCTGGGTAGTGCCAGTGTCCTTGCTTATACAGCAAAATCCTAGGCAGGTGCTGGGGTTCAAGGCCAAGGCTCAGCCATTGGGACAGGCAGCACTGTGGGGGGACCTGGCTGCTCAGCTCTGCAGGTGCAGGGAGGGGATGGTGGGGTGTGAGGTTTGGTGAGCTGAGGACCATCCTCCCTTGTCACCATGCTCTGCCAGCACCCCGTTCATGGTCCCTGCTGCCCTGTTGGGTGGCAAACAGCCTCTGGGAAGCCAGAAATAAAACCTCTCCTTCCCTAGAAGCACTTAGGGTTCTTTATCTGGTCATCCAGGGTCTCCTGTGCTGTGGATGGAGCTGACAGGGTGCAGGGTCTGGGCACAGGGCTATGGCTGTGCATGTCCAGGCAGGAGCCTGCAGCAGGGGTGGCGCCGTGGTGACATCCTGCCTCTGCCCTCTGTGCCTGCATCCCTGGTCCATGGGCTTCTGCTGGTGTGTGGGTGATGGAGGACAGGAGCTGCTTTCCTGGGAGGCCATTTCTCCTCTGGAGCAGCGGCTGGGAGGGCCCACAGTGAAACCCTGCCTCTGTTTCCCCCTGCCTCTCTCCCTGAGTGGGGCCAGCCCTGCTCTGGAGGACACGAGATGGCAGCAGTGGGCTGTGTGTGCTGAGCAGAGCCAGGCGCTGCCCACGCCGTGTGTCCCCATGGCTACGCCAGCACTGACCGTTCTTGTCCCACCAGAGCCTCGGTCACCATCCCCGGTCCAGGCAGGGCTTTGGCCAAGGGGGGAGCAATGGGGTGCTGCTGGTGAGTGGGACACCCACCCATGTGCCTTGGAGGGAATAGAGGGGCACGTTTCTCTGGGGGTGTCTGGGTGGGGTTCAAACATCTGGCTGGGGAGAGGGATTTAGGGAGGGGAGGGCAGGGGATGCTCAGGGGTCCTTACCCACCCTCTCCCTCTGGGAGCTGGGCTAGGAGGAGCTGGAGGGGCTGCAGTGCTGGGGTGGGTGATAGAGAGCCCTCCCCATCCCAGGAACACTGGAGTTGCTGGGGTATAGTGGGGTGCAGGCAGGACCCCTTGATTTGATGGGGCAGGACAGGGACTGCGATTTGGGGGTGAGAGCAGGGGGCTGCAACTTCTGAATGGTGCTTTGTGGGGTCCTTCCACGGCACATGGGCCCTGGGGGATGCCATCTGCCCAGCCTGGGGCAGGCTGGCACCAGGGACCATCCAGGGAGCTGCAGTTCAGCACATCCCAATGCCAGAGACCTCCCAGTGCCACGCTCCTCCCTGGCTGGTCCCATCATGCCTGGGCTCCTTCCTCCCAGTTCCGTCCTCCTTCCCTGGGAGTGAACACTGCCCTTTCTGCTGCCTCCACGGGAGGTTTTGCACTGGCTTAGATTCTGGATTCCTTTCTTATTCCCCCTCCATTATCCCAACCACCCTCCCTCCACATCCCCCTACTCTCCCAAAAAAACCCCTATTGATGCTTGGTATCCCATGTATGGGACTGGGGGCCCCACCGGGACCCCGTAGCTCAAGTACCAAGAGGATCCGGTCGGTGGCTTTGGACAGGGTGACTCACAGCCTTTTTCTTTATCAAGGCTGGAGCAAAGTCCCCCCTCCAGTGACCTGTCAGCACCTTCCCAGATAAACCAGAGCAATAACTGCCTCTGTTCACTACCCTTCCCTCCCAGGCAGCTGCTGCTGAACTGGGAACCCGGTGCGGCAGCGGGAATGAGTGCATGGAAAGGAAGGAAAGAGTGAAGGAAGAAGCAACAGGGAGGGAGGGGAAAAAGCGAGGTCGAAGCGATGGTGGAATCACAGCAAAAACAGCCGGAAAAAGGAAACAGGCCCTGAAAAGTCAAATAAAAATAGCAGCGAGGCGAACCCAAGTGTGCAGCACATGGGAGTGAGCGCATTTCCTTCGAGGGCAGCACCGCACGCTCCCGGCTGCTCCGGGGGGGCCGCTCTGATGTGGCTCCAGCTGCCGCCACGGCCCCCCCACCCCCCTGTGCTGTGCCAGCCCCTTGGCAGCCGCTCGGCGCCCGGCCAGCCCCCTTCTCGCCCGTGGTCCCTGTGCGCCTTTTGTGAACCCACCCGCCCCGGGGGCTGCAGGGGTGTAGGAAAGGTGCACACGAGTGTTAGAGCTGAGGGGACTCACAGGGCTGAGGGGGACTCGCTGGCTGTGCCCACGCCCTCTCCTCGTGCCCTGTGCCTCGCCAGCTGCATCCGAGCCCTATGTGAGCAGCGCAATCTCGGCTCCCTCCCCTCCCTGCCTGTTTTGCAATCACGGCAGGGTCCCGCTGGGAGATGGGGGTTGGGGGAAGGGGAGGCTGTGGGGACAGGGATGGGGACAAGGATGGGGGCTGGTACTTCTTGCCAGCACCAGTGGGTTGCATCCCAAGCCAGCTTTGGGCTGAGCTCGGAGGCAGCAGCAGAACCCAGCGGGCTGGGGCACTGTTCTGTGGGACAGCGCTGGTGGATCATAGTGGGGTACCATGCCCAGGGACCATGGTTTGGGACCACGTGGGGGTACAGTGGCCAGGCACTAAGCTGGGGGACCACACTGGGGTACCATGTCCAGGGACTGTGCCTGGGGAGCTCTGCCAGGGCTCCACACAGGGACACCACGCCTGGGGACCACGCAGAGGGACAGTGGCTGCTGAAGTTCCACAGAGGCACATTTTGCCCCCTCACAGCACCACTGTCCCACCGAAGTGCAGCTGTTCCCAAGCCATCTCAGCTGGTGTCCGGGGGCCCTTGCCCACATGTGCCCCCTGCTTCAGTCCTCACCCCCTGGCACCAGGGCTGGGGGCCCATCCCCTGGCAGCCCCGGCGCTGGGGGCACTGGCACACGCAGGCTGTGTCTGACTGAGCAGAGCAGCGTTTTGTTCTCTCCCATCTCCCTGCAGCATTGTGAAGCTGCTGAAAGGCCAGATTTACAGTGTGATAAACGCTGGAGGCTCTGCGGAATATCTGACTGCTCCATCCTTTGGAGAGCGGCTGGTTCGGAGGAGCGGGGAGCGCCGGGCAGCACACCCAGCGGCAGAACAGCGGGTCCTGGGGGGCAGGGATGGCCGGGAGTGGGGCAGATGGAGCAGTGCCATGACCCAGGTGGGTCCCAGCACTCCCAGCCGTAGGTCACCGGGCGCCCGAACCCCTCCGGGCAGCGGGAAAGCGCTGACCCCCCATCATCTCTTGGGCCTGTTGCTGGTTTTGAAGCATCTGCCGACCAGATTGTGCCGCGGCGTGCCGGGGTGCCCGTGCCAGGACATGCCAGCCGGGAGGCGGGGTGCGCCCAGGCCCGGCTCCGGGTGTGCTCCCTCCCCGCACCCCCATTGCCCGCTCCCCTGCTGGGTGCCGCGGGCTGCTCGGCGGGAGCCTGCGTCCTCTTCCTCGCTGGGAAGGGCTGGGAGATGCTGGAAAGCGGCTCTGCCTGCTCCGCTGCATCGGACAGCAAGAGGTTTGCAGCCTGGGGGCTGCGTGTGCGTGTGTGTGTGCGTGCTGGGATGCCCGTGCATGTGTGTACATGTCTGTGTATGTATATGCGTGTGCACGTGTGTCTGGGCACACGCATGTGGTTATGTGTGCACACACGTACGTGTGTGTGCAGTGGTGTGCCCACACGTGTGTGTGTGGGGGGGGTGGGTGGGTGCATGTGGTTCCACGTGTGTGCATGCATGTGCATGGGTGGGTGCATGTGATCCCTCTCCACAGCTGCTTCCCGACAGGGTGGCTGCAGCCCCTGGTGCCGCTGACCCCGTGACCCCTCTTCCCCGTGCTGGAGCCGGAGCCGGCACTGGAGCCAGCAGGCCTCGGCATGGGGGCAGCCAGCGGGACCGGGATGCCGGGCTCAGCGGGAGCACCAGCTCTCATGGAGACTGGATGCTGCCGATCCAGCACCGATGGTATCACCGCTCCCCGGGCGGGTTCTGGCTCCAGCAGCTCTTGGCACCCAGCGGGAGCCGGGCAGTGGTTGAGGGGCCTGGCCGGTCCCCGCTCTGAGTCGCGATGGCTCCCAACACCATGGTGGGGCACATCCATACCAAGCTGCCAAGAAGCTGGGGGCCTGCTGGGGCTTGGCTGGGAGCTGGGGGGACCGAGCTGCCTCCCGCCCCCATGGCCCCTGGCCCCACCGCTCAGCCCGCAGCATCCTGCGCCGGGGCCCATTGTTCGGCCGCGCCGGGCTGCGGGGCAGGATTTCTTTGTCAGAGCTCGGCAATATTTTATTCTAACAATTAACCAAACACGCCCGGCCCCCCAAGCCTGTTTGTGATTATTGGAGGGCGAATTCCCCCGCCTCGCTCCCTCTTGGTGTTGGCTCCGCCTGGGGCTGCACCGGGCGGAGGGGATCCAGCCCCTCTCCCACCCGCTCAGGGTTGGGGACCCCCAACCGTGCCGACAGCCCCCCTACCCTGCAGACAGTGCTGGGGGCCTTGGTGGCCTCGACCCCCTTGTGAGCCCATGAGCATGGCCTGCATTGTCTCAGCAGCAGCGGGGTCCATGGGGGCGCAGGGGCAGCGGTGATTCATGGCAGGGGGGATGTGAATCACAGCCCTCGCTCTCTGGGCAGGATGCGGCCCCGCGCTCCCAGCTTGCCTCATGCCAGCCATGGACTGCAGGCTTTGTCCTCCGCAGGGTGGAAGAGGCTCACTGCCTGTGGTGGGATGGGATGGGGCCACTGCTCTTCCCAGGATGCTGGCGCAGCTTTCCCAGCTCCAGCTTTGGCGTGGGATGAGGGTGCTGTGGGCTGCGGGTGCCTCCTGCATCCTGGCTCTCTCGCTGTGCTTGGGCTGTGTCCTCATCACAACATCAGTGGTAAAGAAAGCTTGTGCCTCTCTCTACAAACTCTCCTGGAGAGTGAATTTCCCAGGACAAGTTATCAAATCGCTGTAAAATCCTTTGCTTGGGGTCAGCTCATCCCACCTCTCTGCATCCCACTGCTGCAGTTCCACCCTCCAGGCATGGGATGCTGAGTTCCTGGCATGGAGCTGTGGCCTGAGCTGGAAACCCTCTCCAGGTGTTGCCCGCTGTGGGCAGGGGAGTCCAGAGCGAGAGCTGGAGCTGAGGGTCAGGGTGGGCACTGCGGGTGATGCCACCTGCTGAGAGCAAAGCAGCCGGTGCCAGTGCCCTGCAGCAGGACTGTCTGGATTAGTTGTAGGTTTTTAGCCATCCCAGGGGAGACACCCTGAGCAGGTTGTTTCTCTGCCTGCTGCTTGGGACGGATGGAGCTGGGGGGTGACTGGAGAAGAGAAGGGGGTTCACAGCTGCAGGGTGGGAGGATGGAGGAGGGACCAGTGCT